AGTTTCTAAGTTTCATATAATAATTGAAATAATAGATGTTTTATTCTTCTTTACTTAAAAGAACCTAGTATCTATATATTACTCTTTGACTGTTTTCTCATGTAAACATGTGCAAGTTGCGTCTTATCATATTACATCATCGGCTTTAAATGGAATGATGATGTTTTTTTTACTGTGCAATATTCAGAGTTTTTTCTATGTTAACAGTTATGATCGAAACGTGAAATTTATAATAATTGCTATCGAACGTGGATTGATTAAGCATATATAATTTCGAATTCAAAATCTCTTTGGAAATTTCATAATGGAGTAAATTTCTCGCATACTAAAATTATTATAGATGTCGACCATAACTATAACCGTGTACCTTATTTCGAACTAGTTTTATTATGGTCATTAAACAATACAATTTTCAACATAACTCTACACTTGAGACTAATTAAAACTATTAGTTATATGCATGCCATTAATAGAGTACATTCACACTAGACTTCAACGAACCACCATTCACTTATCCCTTCTGTCTGATGCAGAAAGTAATTATTTCTCTTTACCTTTTATCTATAGGAAAATAACTATCAGATCTTCATTTCTCATGTTCCTTGCTTCCTAGTTCTACTTACTCTTTTGTTCCTTCTCTCTCATTTATTGATACTATAACAAGGAAGAGCGAGAAAAGCACAGCAACAAACGCACTGTTCAGGTAGCGATAATGGACGTCTAAGAATGAACACAGAATAATTAGATAAAACTATTTCGTGTTTAAATAAAATATATATGAATATATCCACAGATCACAATATCTATTGCTTCACAGTATTATTGAAAATAATTACCACTTTAGAGATAGAGAATAAGAAATAGAATAGATTCATTACTGTCTTTCAAATACTATTTTTAGCTGCTCACATTTTAAAGATCATTATTGGTCATGCAATACAAAATATATTGTGTTACAACTGCATTCGTGTCCGACAAATAAATACAAGAAGACATAACTTGCAAATATATACATGAAGGATGAATCAGAGAATAATCTATAAATAATAATTTCTCACCATAAAGAACACTGAAATATATGTTTTGATAATCTTTTCTATCAAGCATGTAAATAAAACCAGAAAAATAACTATTTTCTCTTAATTAAACCTATCTCACAAATCAAAAAGTCAATCTAGTTAAAATGGTTGATAGTTGATGGTTATAAATCAATGAGCTTGCTGAACGAAATTTTGATCAAGTTTAGCTCAACACTTACAACTCGACCACATTCTAACTTCTACGTTGGCTTCCATGTTTCAATATATATCTATATGAATGTGTATTGGCAAAAGTAAATATATACACAAATAGAAATTTTTGTATGCATCTATATACATATTTACATATTTCTTCGTGCAACTTACTTTTCACTGGTTTCTTTGTGAATGTTTGTGTGATTGAAATGACACTTGGATACATTCAGCTGTAAGCGCTGATGCATGTCCTATGGTTAACCTAGCGCTTCGAGTATTGCAATATGATACGTCTTTTCTTAGTGTAAGAAGAATAGAAAGAAAAGAAAACCTTAGCATAATACTAGGGATAACTTTTGCTCTATCGAATGGTTTTGAATATTGGCTTTATGTTCTTTTCTCTTCTAGAAAATGGATTTTCTCTTCCTTTCAATAACATATTTCAACGTGATGTGATTTACTAGCCATTTGATATGAGACAAAACTCAGATGGTTAAACAAATCATATATTTATTAAATTCAATGCTAAAACAAAGTGATAATCGATTATGACACATTGAATATAACATTTCGCTTTTCATTGTGTATCATTCTCGTGTATGCACTCACATGCAACAGATGAATCATCGCACTCCCAGGTAAACGTTAGATTTTAATACAACTAATTTTCGGTTTTCTTTACATCAAATAAAATATATTAAGAACATCACTCTATGACAGAAAATTAATTGTTATCAAGGCAGCTATCTACAGAATGAGACACTAACGGAGAATTTAAAATTTTATCTATGAGCAAGCTTACATTTCCATATGATAAATAATTTTTATGATTTAAGACGAAAAAAACGATTGTATTTTGTATTTTAACACAGTGATAATATGATAAAAATAAGGACCTATTCATGATTAACAAATATGTGTTTTTAGAGGTTTAAATAAGTGATAAGCACTTTTCACGATTACAACATATGAAGACTTATTTATTTACTTCTACACAAACACACGCACATATATACGTATATTAATATACTATCTTTTTTAGTTCTTTTACCGTGTCCAATTTAGATGCAAATAATCCTCATTTTACATCTGTATATATTAATGCTTCATCTGTATGCACAATGGCTATAGTGATTATATCATCACTACCTGCAATGGATGCCACAGATGTTGGTGGATATGGTTCTCAACACTGATGCGTCATACTCACATCCTGGAAAGTCTCTTATCTTGCAAGTTCGCATGAACTGTAGGAGTCAGATTGTTAAGAGTCTTCTTTCGATCTTTCTCTTTATTTGTATACACTAATATATGTCTGGATGTATTCATGTACGAGGTTTGTTTCAGAAGAAATGTAAAAACCTTCGAAACTTAATCTGTAAAATTGTATATGTATATGCAAAGGATGAGAAAAAGGACAGAGGAATATATAATAGAAGATGACACAGATAATGAACATGTCTGCGTGCGACACTACTGTAATATACTTACATATTAGACTCGAAATGTATGCTATTAGTACTTTGCAGAAAATGCAAAGGCATACCAATCAGTAGAGAATAGGAAAGCAAAAAAAAACAAATTCTAGTAATGAAAAAGCAAAATAATAACGTGTCTAATCGATCAAATCAGAATAAATGCATATGACGAACAATAAAGAATTGAGAAGCTATTCACAGAAAGAACAAAAAAAAACTAGACCATGTTGAGAACAAAATTAAAATAGATAAATAATGACAGTCATATAGAGATAGTACAAAAACCAATCCGAGAGCTTTTTGAATGTGGATTTATTAACGTATTCTTAATTCATGGAAAATCTTATGTATATGTATGAAGAGATTTATTCTGATAGATCAGAAAGATCTGTCAGAATGTGCATAAAAATCAAAACAAGAATAATATTATATTTGTTCATTCTAGTCACTGTGATAGATGAATCTGATTTAAATATACAATCGCAGATTGCGTAGCATTTTAATTTTGACTCTTCGCTCAATGTCGGATAAGTTTCTAAGAATGAGTTCCAAATCAAAAAATTTCATTGGAGAGAGTATCGATTAATGTTTTGTTCAAGCTTGGCATAATCAATTCCTAACAACATGAGGCATTTTGGCAACAACTATTTTTAATTCTTGTTATTAGCGCAGTGCCACTGTGATAGAGTATCCATGGCTATTATGAATACCATCTGATTATACAAGCCAAGACCAGTGTGTGTGACTTAATTATTACTACAAAAATCTTGAATATAAATATTTGCTCCACCTTTTTGTTCACTGCTATTAATTGGTCGAATTAACTCATCATACTGCTTAATAATTTCTGTACATGAGATTCGATCACTGAACATTTCCTGAAATGAATTAATAGCCAGAAGAGCTTGTGAGCCGACTTGAAGTTGTCAAAAAACGAGTGCCATGTTGCATGACTATGGATAATTAGCCGTTATGGTTTCGATTCCATGACACACTGGTACCAAATCAATCATGTTGTTAACCAAAGATCGTATATCTGGCCAAAATCGCAATGCTCATCGAGGAGTCATGCCATCCTGTGAATGACCAATAGTATTCACACGATGACGATTAGCACGTTCGTGCATTGTTCGAATTGAAAAAACGATATACTCACCAGAGATTTGAATATCACCAAAACCATAATCCGGTGGATCCACAAAGCAATGAGGCCAATCAAGTTTGTTTAGTTCAAGTGTCCGCCCACGGCTGAATTGTGCTATTGCACTTTTGGCACCAGTACCGGGGACGAATAAAATGGGTCCAGCATGATTAGATATGATCCTGGTTAGATCACCAGCACATTTCGGTAATTTAGTCAGGGAATCCGCAGGCACAGATAGTAGCGTTCCAGGTCAATCAACTAGTGTGGAAGTCGAATCTGAACAGTTCAGTGAATTAGCCGTCTTTATAATAAATATTGACAATATCACAAGCAGCATTGCATTCGAACAAATATGACACGTCTTTGCACTGCAAAGAATAGAGATAAAAATGCAATCATACTACTCACCGTCAATCATAAATGTCATCGTGTCATTAGAGAAGGGTTTCGCTTTTTTCTCCTATGTCATTCTGTTGCTATTTGCTTAATTGGATATGTGATATGCATAAAAAATCAACATAGATAAAATGATATTTAAGTTTTCAAGCAAGGAGTTTCATGCAGATTCAAAAGTGCTATTAATACATCAGTCGACTGTTGCTGCCTTTTCAATATCGTCACCATCTCACATGAGTCTCTATCTGTTAAAGGTTGTGGATGTGGATAGATGTCATCGTCCAAACTGTGATTACGTCCAATCTGAGATTGACCTAGGTGAATGTCGGATCTGAAATTGGACGCGTCCCATCTCGGATTGACGTAATTCTGTTCACGAAAATATCAATTACTCTTTAGATAGACGTTGGATTCGAGCTGCTTCTTTAAAATATGTTCATGCAATGCCAGTTTATTTGGCACAGTTGTCATTTGACAGGTTTGAGTAAAATTTTCATACATGTCAAACCTGAAAATTGAATTCAATTATTGAATAGTTGAACTTCAATCGTTCAATTATTCCATGTTCACCAGATGTGGGTGCGGAAAAGGGAGTTCTGGGGGAGACGACGAAAAATGAATAATTGAATAGTTGAAATAGATTGTCAATAATTGAATTCAACTTTCAGATTTGACACTACTGGTTAGTTGTGGTGTCTTTCAAGATAGATCTAAAATTCTAAAGTTGATCATACGAATACAGCAGTAATGAAAGCTGTCCGTTATCATGCCGCAAAAGGTTTACGTGTAGAAGAAACATCTATTCATTCTGCCAACAAAAATCAAGTTAAAATAGAAGTAAAATACGCTGGTATCTGTGGAACAGATTTACATGAATATTTACATGGTCCAATGATAATTCCCATGAAAGAACCTTATCCATTAAATGGACATTACGATGTAACAACGATGGGACATGAATTTTCGGTTGTGATTGTTGAAGTAGGAGATAATGTTCACAGTAATGGTGTCAAGACAGGTGATCGTGCTGTAGTATAGCCAATTTTTAGAAATCCAGATAATGTCTTTATAAAAAGAGGTGAATATAATCGATCAGAGCCGATTGGTTTTATTGGTCTGACCGGAAATGGTGGATTTGCAAAATATGTCGTTGTGGAAGATTACATGGTACATAAAATATCGGATACTGTCAGTTTTGAACAAGGTGCACTAGTGGAACGTGCTGCTCTAGCTGTGCAGGCCGTTAAAACTAATGGTTTACAACTAGGTATGTATCAGGATCCAACTGTTCAATCTTTTTCACTATGAAAACAACAATTTTCTGTAACAACAAAATATCAACAGAGGAAGAACTGATAAAGAAGAATAAATTATTTGTTTCTATTTTCTCTTGAAATAAGTAGATGAATTCCAACTAAGAGAAGAGAGAAAGTTCACCTTCTGCATCGATGGTCAACTGCTGTCAAGGGGAAAAACTCATTCGGGCATTCCCTGGCATTCCCATACATTCCTAGCCATTCCCAGCCATTCTTATCAAATCCGGGCTATTCGGAATCTTCCACATCTATACCTAACTTTTGTAAATTACTGTTTTGCATCTTAAAGTTAGCTCGTTTCGTGAGCTTATTCCCTCAACTCAAGGGAGGGCCATATGAAATAA